AAGGTCCTTTCAGCTCCAAAAAATATGAATAATATTAATACTATTTTATTTATTAGTAAATTGTTCTTATAGGGAAAGTATCGCCGTTACATTTCGCGTTACTTTTTAAAAGAGGTCGAAATTATTAATATGAAAAAAAAATTTCCATTAATTGTTATTTGATTTTCATCAATAGATGTGTACTTAATACACAAATTCCAATTTTTTAAAAAATTACCCATTCAATAAATGTTGAGAATAGCAAGGTCCTGTTATATTTTATAAAGAAGGTTTTAATGTGTAGAAATTATATTAAACATTAATAAAAAAAATAGATGGTTAAAATAAAAATAATAAATAAAAAGTAACGAGTAAAGTATATCGCGGCAATTTAATTCGTTACTTATCTAATTAGTAATGTAATTACACGAATCTATGGAGGGATGTAACGCTGTTATTTGTAACGCGTCACTATATAATAGCACTATTAAAAAATGAATAAAATAATACATGAAACATTATAATTGAAGATGCTGTAAAAATATTTTTAAAAAAAATCAAGATCATCAGTGAAATAAAATAATTTATATATTTTTATTTATAGATACCCGAGTCTATGGTAGATGTTTGTTCAAGTTTCGACCGAATAAAAAACTTAAGATCAAGGTCTTATCCAACCAAATCCAAAACCGATGGATTGCGTGGTGCTCAATTATAATCATTCAATTTTTTCACTTAATTCCATAAGATACAACATCTTTATTTCGTTATCTGTCGAGATTATTAAAAAATCTAGGGCTTAAAAGAGCAGAGTAAAATAATCTCTTTTTAAAAAAAAATAATTTCTTGTACCTTTTTAAGACATAATAGAATAGGTGTAAAAATTGAAGTTAGACTCTAAGTAAAGTATTGTCGCTAAGATTTCTTTTAGGGGGAGAAGATAACGTCATTTTATTATCTCTTTGGAAAAGTAACGAGTAAAATATCGAAATTACCATTTTTTGAGTATTTCCATATGAGAGGATCATATATAGCGAAGTGCAAAATTATACATTATTTTTATTATTATATATCAATTTTTTATATTTATTCTATTTAGTTTTACCCGCGGTGTCAGATAAATTCAAGCTATTAATATAGAAAGAATTGCAACCCTTCCTATAATCTCAATAGTACTGAGTTTGCCAAATTTACTTGTTTATCTCTTCTAAACTTTGAAAAATAATTATTGTTAACAAGATATAATAATGGCTAGAAAAATGTATTTTTAAATACATTTATTATAAATTTTATTTAGTAAATTTAAAATTTTTGAACATTATTTTTTACTTATGATCATCGTATTTTTATCGCTTTTTTATAAACTAGATTTTCGCAAAAATCAAGCTTAAAATTATAAACATATCCAACAAATTATTTTGGTATCATTTATATAGGTCATTTTTTATTAAATTTAGAAAAAATCTGCTTGTGCAATATATCTACCCTATAAATTTCAGACAATTCTATAATATACTACACATATACCTGAAAACACATAGCAGATAACACAACCTATGCCTATAGGGGAGATCGGGTTAAAACGATAGGTATTTTGCATTTTTGTAGTGTTGTAAACGAATGCGTTCGTGAACGAAGTTCGTTTTTTTGAAAAAAATGATGAACGGCGTTCCTTTTATTTTTGACGAACTTTGAACGTGAACGCGTTTCTTTTTTATGACGAACGCGTTCAATTTTAAAAATATTTTTATTTATTTGAAAAATTTAATATTTCCGAATTTTTTTTAAAAAAAGTATTATTTATATTTTTTAATCGGCTGTGTATTTCCTTTTCAAATTTCAATTTTTTTAACCCATAGTTTATTAAATTGAATATTATTGTTTATATTTTAATTTAATTTATTAGCATAAGCATGGATATTATTATTTAATCCTCATCATCTGATTCTGAAAATCCAAAATCAGATGAATTATCAACCATGGCCAAATATGATAAATGTTTTACATTAACATCCTATATTGAAGAATCCAATGTTTACCAAGTGTAAAATATGGCCAAAAAGTATTATATTGTCAAAATCTTCAGGTTCCAATTTAAAACGACATTTGATTTTAATATTAATTATTTGATTTTATATGATATAACTAAGTTAAATCATTAAATTTGAAGAAATAATGCATTTGGGATATTTGACCCCAACAATAACGATAGTTATTTTAAAATTAAAAAAATTAGTGGCCCCAAATATGGTCAACCATTGATAGACGCCGTATTAAATGGGATTTGTATTAAACCTATTACTCTCAATTAATTACAATTAATTACATATATTTTATTTTTTTAAAGATTTGAACATATATATAAGGATCAATATGTTCTTTCTGCAATTAAACATCCAGCATTCAAATTACAATGGCCATGGATAAAACTTCCACAGGACGTACCTATTAAAAATAAACTTATAGCGTCATTAAAAAATATATGAAACCCTAGAGAACTGTTAATTTCGAAATATCCTTTTTTTTGTCGAGAGTAGAGAATGGATTGGAGGAGGATAACTTATCTTAATTTTTTTTAAATAACAAAATAATATGTTTTTAATTAATTCTCCACGTTAAAAGAGCTGTTTATTAAGTATACTACCACAATCCCCTCATATGCCCCTGTAGAGCGCGTTTTAAGTATAGCTAATGCCGTATTAACTGCTAAGTGTTCCTGTGTATCAGATAAATATTTTGAAAACAATTATTAAAATTAAATAAGAAAAATTTTTTATAAATAAAAATATCTTTTTATTCGCTATATTATATTATATTTTATTTATAATTATATTATTAAAATAAAACTATATTATTTTTTAACATGGTTAAAATATATTGTATTAAAAAATATAAGTTTATTTATATAATTTTAAAAAATTTATCATAAAATTTTGAACGGTTTGAACGTGAACGCGTTCCTTTTTTTTGAACTTGAACGTGAACACGTTCGATTTTTGTCAATGAACGTTGAACGCGTTCGATTTTTTAGAAATGTTTACAGCACTACATTTTTGTCAAAAAATTTTAAACACAAATAAAGTAAGCAAATTATAGATTTGTATATAGTCAAATTTCTCTTCTACAAAATAGAAATAAGTGTAGCTGACTACTTTAGTACTTTAGGAGTTGTGATTATTATGTGAAATGTGCCAGCTAATTTACCCCATATCCAGGGGTCTAAGCATCAAGGTAAAATGGTTAAAATAAAATTGAATACTATAACAAAAAACATTCAATAAACAAAATAGTGCAATTTTGACATCTGTTCATCACTAAGTATATACTAATCAATACAATACCTGTAAAATATTGTTAGCATATATTGAGTGTGTCCATAGCAAATTCTTCCCTTTTGGGACTATTCTTAAAATTTTATTTTTAATAACACAGAAATTATTTATTAATGTTTCTATTTTCTCAAAAATTATTTTTTATAGACATTATTTAAAAATGATCTTTTACAGTTTAAATCAGATGGAATATTTTAACAGTTTCCCATAACAACTTTACCTCAAGGTGATATATATTGTACAAATCGTTATTGCGTGACTACTAATTAAGGTATAAACTTTTAATAAATTTTATTTTATAGCTATGACTTTAAGGAACATGTATACAAATTATTAAATTCTGAGCCTTAATATATTTTGCTAAAACAAGATCAATTAGAGGGTAATTTTTGGGTAAAAAACTGTTTTTTGTCTAAATATTTAAAATTGGAAAGTTTTTCATGGACATAGGTAAGACATTGGACATTAAAATACATCCACACACCAAAATCTAAGTCTTTATACTCAAGGGTTAAAAAGGCAATCGCTTTACCCCGGTCTCCCCTATCTTTCCTTCAGAAATATTAATTTAATGTAATATTTCTCTTTTAGAGATGTGGTTATCCAATAAAAATAAATATTTTTTCATCATTATACCACGTATTTTTAATAATTAAATAAAAATTATTCTTACTTTCAAAATATTTTTTAGTAGGCTGAGTTAGAGAAAATAAATCTAGTTTAATACATTGTACTCAATATTTAGTGATTACCTGCTTATCTTTAATTCTACCGACACTGTATATTATATAAATTAGGGGTTAAATTAGATCAATCTTTGATAATACTTATTATAATTGAGTTTTTCCTATGGTAGCTCTTACTCAAATGTTTAAAGGAAGTATGGTTAAATCCGCCCTGGTGCCCAAAATTATGTGATTTTAAGATCTAACTATTCAAATTTTTTTTTTATAAAGCTAACGTGCCGAATTTTTTTTTAAACAGACTGTTAAGAAATCACATGATGGGAATACTTAAGCCTTTATTTTAGCTTCTCATATTTCGACTTCCATTTGAATAATAATATACATGGAAGTAATTTTTTTAAAGGACTCGGCCAATTTTTAAAAACGCATAACTCATATTTAGACATGTATTAGCAAAATCTCGATGTTTAGAGAATATATTTTGGCTAAAATCTTGACGCTAAACTGAGCCCTTTACGCTACATAAGTTAACATTTTAACTAGAATCAAATTCTGTTCATCCCTTAATAATAACGTAGCAAGCACATTGGCCTAAAATCTGCCCCATAGGGGAGCTCTGGTAAATTATACAAAGGCTCACATAGTCATGCTGGCGTTTTCGACAATGCCAATAAACCTTGTTACCTAGATAATAAAAATTATTAAAATTATCAAAGATGGCCGCCCTAGATGCCATCTCATTTGTAATAAATTTTTATTATCCCAAACAGTAAAAAAAGATTTAAAAAATTTGGAGGTATGTCAAGGATAATACATTATTTCTAGTATTTATTAGGTATAATTTATATATTTTATAATTCTTATCCAAAAATTCATTTTCATTCCATTCGAGTTTCTACAAAACCCTGCAAGTTTTTATTTTAAAATCAAATAATATGACATATTTTTTTTAAAATCTTTATTATATATATATTTTTTTTTTATAATTTTATAAATTGCTGCCATATCGTTTATCTGCAACAAAAAGTAGAGCGCCACATAAAGGAAAATAAAATATATTATCACAATGATGATGATTACTATAATTATTTCACAAAGAGGAGGTCAGAAAAGTTATAAAGGGCTTACGAATAAAATTTTGGATTAAAATAAATAGTTTAATTTTTAATATAATATAAATTTTGTTTTCTTTTTCATGATTGTATCATCGAGTTCCCGAAAGAACGGCTTATAAATTAACAATATTTTTTATTAAAAAAAATATATTAAGCGAATTTAGAAAAATAAATATAATTTTACTATTTTATATAAGAGATTCAATTCATTTCCTAAAATATATATATGATTATGCCTTAACGAGACCCGTGTACTGTTTTTCTAGGCATGAAAAAAAATTATCAAAATATATAAAGGTTTCTGCCGTTGACCGACAAACATTCTTCATAAATGATTATGAGAAAATTTTGTGAATATTAAATATATTGAATAAATAATATGTATGTATAAATGTATAATTCATATTGCCAAACAATTTTTTGTTATAGGTTGAGATGAATGGGGATGGTTGGAAGAGGAAAGGGTTATAAAAGTAGAAGTGTTTATTAGAAAAAATACTGGCCTATAGTAATAGCACATGTATTTAAAATCATATTATGCTAGGGTAAGAAATTTGGAAACAAATAAAAAAAAATATTTTTGAATATAAAAAACCAAATTCATCTAATTTTGCATTGATATAAATTTCAGCACTCTATTAATTATTTTTGTTTAATTTAAAAATGGACTATTTAAAAAAATAGCGGAGTTGGAGCTATGTAGTTTTAAATAAATTATAATGTATATATATATGTGTTGTATTTGGGATGCGGAATTAGTGGAGAATCAGAATCTTTCTATTTTAAATCATTTAGGGAAGACGAGTGTATTTTAAAAAAAATTATATATATAAAAAATATAAATTTGAAAGTAGTTCAATGTGGCAAAAAAATGTCTGAAATTATTGTGAACTGTACATATACTAAAATACGTTTCCGGTCAAATCAGATATTTTTAATTTAAAAATCGTCCTCAGTATGTGATTTAAAAATTAAATATTCCAAACCCTCGTGGATTCTAAATCCCAATACAACATATATATTATATATTATATATACAAAAGCAGCCATATATTTAAAGGTGGGACTACACGACTATTACAATAATTAAGGTTTTATGAGCCTCATTTCAAACAGTGAAATCCAAATCCGAATACGAAATATATATTATATATACACAAAAACAGCCATTTATTAAAAGATGGGAGTAAACGACACTTTATATTACACTGATTAAGACTTCATAGGCCTCAATTTTTCCGAAAAAATTCAATCATATAGCACAGACACTGTCGGAAAGGATCAGCACATATCATTTAAATATGCATCATTGTCTTGATTAAGTCTATTTTCATCGGGCATATTTTGAAGATCGTTGGATGTGCTAGTCGCGGTGGGAGAAGAATAGCATTTCAGCTGGTAATTATGACCGGAATTATTATCCCAGTAATCTTTCCCTTTCGTTCTGTAAAGCACGGATAGGTATAGGTTCGAACCTGGAGTCATGGAAAAGGGAACTACTATGGTAAAGGAGAATTTATCGGTGCATATCGTTTCGTCATAGTTTAATTCGAGATTTTGCATGCCGATGATATCTGTTTTATTTAAAGTTATAAATTTGTGAGACAAATAGGTTGCAATGTTTATTTTTTTAAAAAAAGCTAAAATGTGTATATGATGTTTTCAACAGAATTTGGGGCTCGGACCAGAAAAAAGGGTTCGGGTTCCTAAATATTGTTAACCGGGAGATTCTGGTTTCGGCTCCTACCCAGTTCTGAGGATTTAAAGATTTTGATGCCAGTTCTAAGGATTTCTGTCTTCTGTATCCCGATTAATTTTTTTTTTGCAATTAAATTCTAAATTTAATAAACTCCAAATTTTCTTTTAAATAAAAAATTCTAATTTTGGTGGATCCCAATTTTTTAAACTCTCATAAATCCGCGCCCCCGGTAATTTACGATTTTATATAAAAAAGAAATCCTAATTTTTATTTAAAAAAATTCAGGAATAGCGTCAAATTTAAGAACCGGAGCCAGAATCAACTTTTCAAAATTTTATGGAACCGGAAACTATTTTTAAGCCTTTTTGATTCGATTTAAAATTTTATTTGTCCAACGCGAAACAAGATAGAAACTAGGGATGATCTTCAAACGTAAGTATTTAATCCTTTTCAATAAAGTTCGATTTGCCACTAACACAAGATACCTTGTTCTCTTTAAGGATTAAGGAGGTAAACCGCAACAACCGTATGCTACATAGAATTTCATTAAATTTAAAAGCAAAAAAGAATAGGAAATAATTAAAATATGATTAAGTGTAACTTATTACGCATAATTAATTATCAACCGAAATGGTAAAATTTAAACAGGGATTTTCTTCTTCATTATTTATCATAACTCATAATTAACTTCATTTAACATTTCGATCTATCGCCAAATATATTATAATACTATTGTTGATATCCTTCTTATGTAGGCTTTTTTCCAAGTTTAAACAGTATTATCTTAAAATAATCAATAAAAACAAACCCTTAGAGGCTTTGGAATACAGTGGGGAAACCGAGGTAGAGTTAGGAACGTAATTGCAAAGGTGATCGAAACGGGTAATCCAATCGTCGACAGTGTACCTCACGTATACTGTTTTGTGAAACGATAAATTTTCTACTCGGATGAGTCCAGAAATTGCGCATTTTTCCGATTCGCCCATAACTTCCTCAAGGCATACCTTAACATATTTTTAACGAAAAAACAATATTATGCTAAAAAAAATTTAAAATATATATTATCGAAAAGTCATAAGAGGGGCTCTACAACGGATTTACGCTACATTTATATTAAGCGCGATTTGCTTAAGCGATGAGATATTAATCGTTGCGTAATTTACAAAAGGAAAATGACTAGGGCGACCATTTTTAAAATGGATGAAACTTGGCATGGAGGTTAAATATAATTGTTTATTTTGTAAAGATAAGAATTTTAAAGCTCTAGCTCAAATAGAACGGGAGTTATGGATCTTCAAAATACAATAAGGACACCATCTTGGCTTTAATAATCTCAAATTACAAGATAAATATTTAGTCTAAAGTCACAAATTTTATAACCCTTAAACTTCTCCTTAATTAATTGCCAAAATATTTTCAGCATTTCAGGTAAACAAAAAAATTATATTGAGATGGGCCTAATTCAAACGATAAAATTAACCAAATATGTTTAATAATATAAAAGTTTAAGTAAAAATATTAATGGATAAAACAGGAATTTAATTTATATAGTTTTTAATTTTGTGGATAAAAAATTTTTCTAAATAAAACTATAAACATTTTATATTATAAATGGCTTGACCATTAATATTTTTATAAAATTATTAGATATATATATACTAAAAAAAAATTTTAAAAATACTTTTTTTTGTATTCCCAATTTAAAAAGAAAATATATTAATGAAGCGTCCACTATGGTTGATTTAATCATTCCCTAAATTATTATTTTTCTATTTTCTCCATTAATATTTTACTTAATTAAATATTCAAATATATTGGTAATAACCATATTTGATGATTCAAATTAGGCCTTTTTCGAAATAATATGAAGATATTTTTAAAACAATTTGTGTATTCTCTTAAAGGAGAATTTTGAGATCTACGAATGATATATAATTAGTTACTACAGACCAAAAATATTTTGAGATTCGCTAAAAGAGTAAAAGGCTCTCATCGAACTGAAAGCCCATAACTCGGGATATATTTTAGCTAGGGCAAAAAAAATTTGGATTTGTATATTATACAAAATATACAATCTATTTAACTTTCATTCCAAGTTTCATTCATATTTATTATGGTCGTCCGAATCACTGGGAGATTTGTCATAGAAATTTAAATTCTTCATTAATAATGAATAATAATTTTTTTTAATTTACTTGTTAACAGAATTATTACTTCCATTTAATTCATAAATATCCTAACATTTCAAACTCTGATTACTACTGAAGATATGGGCCGTTAAAAACCGAAAATTGATAAAAAAAAAATACACTTCATTTACTTTTATATTTGGGAAAATAATCAAGCCAAATGCATCATTTAATATGACATCAAATATACTATCAGTTTAATATATAAAAAACAGGAAGTAACCGGAAATGGCTATATAAAAAGGGTTTACTATACTTTCAATTTTTTCCACCTAAAGTCAAGCTGCCATACTTATCTATATTTTTTGCATAATTTTAAATATGAATTATTCTGTTAAACTTAATAAATTTTTAGCGATAATCCGAATTATTTTAAAGCCAAAATCTTTTGTACAAATATAACGAATTGTGTTTAATCTTTTTAAAGGGCCATTCGTTTTTCAATGAGCCCATATCTCCACAAGTAAAATCTTAGTTCTTCCAGTTATTAACCGGTACGGGATCTTATAAAAAAATTTTTTTAACTATATTTATATTCCATTTGAACGAATCAAATAATTTACTATCATATTTTAAAAAGAAATAATAACCCGTATATCTTGGAAAATCTTTTTGTAAAATGCATGAAATCAGACGATAATATATAAGAAAAATTATCGTTCATTCATAATCATAAATCTAGCAAATTTAAATAATAATTTATTTCTTCAAACAAATATAAGTATTTCTTTTTAGATAATATATTCTATGACGAAAGGGTATGACGCATGCTGATTATAATTCAAACCACATCTTCAAAATGGAAAAAAAATCAATATTCATGATGATTTTAGATATTTCTTGTATTTTTTTTATATGTACCATTTATTTTTAAAAAAGACCTTCAAAATCGAATTCGCGACTTCTTTCAACATTAAAAACATTTTGTAATTTAAAGAAGGATAGGGCCATAACTAATAGGGGAAGAATCCTCTCCCCAACGAATTGTAATCCCCCCTCCCTCTATGAAATATTCTTTGCTTTTTTAGATATTTTCATACATTTAGAAGTGATTTGTTATAAAAAATATATATTACATAAAATAAACTTAATATCATTAATTTTCATTTATAAATTATTTATATTTTTCAGTGATAATATCACTATTTTAGTCATTTATAAATTTTTATATTTTACTGAGATATATTACAGGTTTTTATTTATTATATTATTCATATTCTAATCTACTTATTTACCATAAAAATGTAAAATGATCAAAATATGCAATTTCCGGTCTAATTTTATCGATAATGAATGCTACAATTTCTGATCAAAACACGCAAAAAATTTAAGCCCTCACCCCACAATTCCTCCTATAAAACTAGCTAAGGCCCTGGAGATGGTCTATCCCATACTTAACATTCTGACAAAAATTAACAAATATCTGTATTGTAAGTAGTGTCGCATTTGGTAAGAATATAAGATTTTGTTTAAAAAATAATGGGTCATTTTTAATCTATCCCCTCCTGATTCTGTCCCTGCCTATCCATATCTCTCATTGTCTTAGTTTTTAAAATTTTATCTTTAGTCATTAGATCTTTTTATTTTATATGATCCCTATCAACAAAATTTGCTTATTAATCTCCCTCTCTCCTCTATGATCTAGATACAAGAACCTAGAGTGATGATTGATAAAGCTGTAAGAAATTTTTTTTTATTAGCTTTCATTTGATACCCATATTTAACTTTTATTCGATAAAAAAAATAAACAAGCCTAAATAATTATAATAGTTATAAATCTTATTGTGATAAGGTTAAATAGATATGTAAATATTGCTTATTTTAACTCTTATCCCTATTTTTAAGTAATCCGGCCCTAATTTGTTGATTTATTTATGGCACGGTCTAGGTTTTTAAAATTTACTTAAATAATTTTGGCTGTATATTGCAGGGATCTAAACCGAAACGAATGGTTCAGGTTCAGATAAAAATAACGGTTCAAAGTTCAGGTTCGGTTCGCAAAAAATAAAAATATCGGTTCGGTTCGAACCTCTAAAAACCGGTTTGAACACATTTGTATTCAAACCTACATTAGGATTATGTATCAGGGAAATTTTTTTTTATTCATAATTAAAATAAAAACCTTCATTTTTATTAATTGCACAAATAAAACAAATAAATATATCAATGATTAATTTAAATATGAACAATTACTTAAATTTTTTTTACTAAGCTGCACAATTAATATATTTTCAAAATTCGTCTCACTCAAATTACATCTATAAGGAGATAATATAAATTTAATTGTTGAAAAACATCCTTCCACACTAACTTGGGTAGCTGGCATTGCCAGTATGATATCAAATTTGATGTGCCATTTATAATACTATATGTAAATAATTTATATATTATAGCGGTGTACCGATACCACTTTTTGGAGGCCGATCCGATCCGATATTTCAGATATTAAATTGATATCGGCCGATAACCGACCCGATATCATATCTAATTTTGTATTCTGCAAAGATACCGGTTTTAATTTTTAATATACTTTTTATTAGTACAACATCTATAATTTTACTATACCATAACATATGTCATTTAAATATATTATAATGGTCAGTTATAGTTTATATTCAATTCAATTGCTATTATTTATATAATAAGTAATAACATTAATCTATTTACATAATTAGTAATAAAAAAATATATTATGAAATTTGAAATTAATATTTAAAATTAATATATCGAAGATTTCTTTTTATATCAGAGATATGTCGGCGGTGATGGGGACTGTTAATATCACTAGCATCACTAAAAACAGATACTGAAGAGATTAATGAACACTTTTTTAAACAGAATGCGAAAAAAAAAACTATATTGCAGAATGTTTATTAACTAATTATTTCTATTAAAAAAATTAAACATAAAAATGTATTTCGATTTTATTTATAAAAATAAATGGTTTTTTAGATATAACTTTTTTTAAATTTTGTTAAAAGCGCCATTTTATATCGGATCGGAAAATTTTATAATATTTGCCGATAACCGATATTTTAAAATGAGCGAAATATCGGCCCGATCCGATCCGATATAAAATATCGGTACATCCCTAATATATTAGATTAAATTTTTTTCTAGGCATTATAATTTATAAGCTTAAAATATTTTAAAAATATTGCAAAATGGCAATATACTAAAGTTTATAAAAATTATAACTGACGTTTATCATCAAATGTGATTGTTAATAATTTTTAAAACAATTTGAATATAATTAAAATTTTTGCAATATACTACTAGTAATAACTTACACATTATTTTATAAGCATAAAATTATGAGACTCAAACCGGTTCAGAGGCATTTTAGCGGTTTGGCTAAGAATTTTTTAGAGGTTTAGGTTCGATAAAAAATACAGGTTTTTAGCGGTTTAACGGTTCGGTTCAGGTTCGGATCCTATATTGCTTCAAAAGGGAAAATTGAAAATTATTTAAATTTTGGAAAAATCGATCTAGTTTGTGCAGGTCCATGTTTTGAGCCTGCATTTTTCTAATTAAGTTAAAAATTTAACAAATTTTATTGGCGCCGATATTTGGTTGTATATAACTTCAGCGAAGTTTTTTATCGCGAAACACTTTTCCATGAAACCTTTATCGCGAATGTTTATAATATAACGAATGTGTTTTATAGTGAAAATTATCGCAAATACTATTCCGCGAGTCAAATATAGCGCAACCCTAACCGCAAACTTTTTGACGGAATAACAGCGAAAATTTTATAACGAAGTCATAATCGTGAAACCCAAATTGAGAAGACAGTATAGTGAAAACTATCGCCA